CATAAAAAAATACGGAATATCAGTTTGCGAGTTCGCCTTGTATTTTTTATATTGTTTACGTATGTCATTGCAATTGAAGAATATGTATGTCAGTGAGTACTTGAATATTATTTTACTTCTATCAGTGAACAGGTCATAAATAAAGAACTAGAACTTGTAAAATTATTAATAATTAATGCAACATAATTAAAACGTCATTATACAAATATATATTAGTTTAAAATTAAAAAAAAGGCTACATAGTCACTGTTTATTTAATTTGATATTATGACACAGAAATTCACATAGCATTGATTTTATAGAGTTAATTAAAACTGTTTAATTAATTGGCGTTATCAAAAAATTTTACTTACCGACATGAAATTATTTTATAATTTATATTTTATGAAATAAATTCAAATTTAATATAAAAACGAACAAATGTCACATAAAGTGCTTGTTGTGTTACACAATAAGATACTCGTAACTCTTCAATAGCTTATGAAAGAAAGCGTAGTATAAATACTTATTTTCTTTGGTAAGAAAAGTGGTGTGTTGGCAACTTTCGCTATATGGGACGGGTTCATATTCACTACAATGGCTGAGTGCATATTGTACGTACGCGTTAACCCGTGCAGAGTAGGCTTAACTGTTATTAAAATGTGATAAAATATTCCATGAGCTATAAAAGTATTGTTCGCCTATGAATGACTGACAAATTTTACTTTTATTCAACAAAAAGTAATTGCTATGTGACGAATTAGTGATAAAATTGAAAAAAATGATTTATTTCATATTTTTTCGATAGATCTGATTTAAGATATGGGGTTATACGATTATCGAAGATTAGTTATCATTTTCATAAATATTGATTTTGTGATCCAATTTTGGATTTGATTTGATTTGATTTATTTTCAATTTGTGTTTTTGATTAAGAAAAATATTTTTTCCTATAAATTAAGTTATTATAAATGACATAATTACAATTTTCTATAAATCATTTCTTGTTCATGTAACATGAAAGACGATTTGAATATACTACACAAAGTGACAGTGTAATTACTCAGGGGAAAGCAATTTTTCATGTATTCTTGAGGCCAGCTTAAACAATGCGAAGTGAAAAATACGTATAGAAAGCCCGATTGTAAGCGGAGATGTTGGCTTAAAGCCAGCATTGGCGACAATTTTACCTTTTTGTAGCTGATAACATTCCTTGTCGAGAAATATTTTTATATTACAACTGTTTTTCTAACAGCATAATGGCTTCAATTACGTAAAACGCAGCAATCGTTGTTGTGTCTATCTTTATTTTGTATCTAATTTAATAGAATTGAGTTTTTATATCAAACATGGAAGGAAAAGACATTTATAGACAAGTTTTTGATATTATACCAAATGTATTTATGAAGATATTTGTCTTTATAAAATGCATTGAAGAAATATTACACAGAAAATTACATGCTTATTTTATATATATAAAAAATAACGATGCACAGTGATTTATGTTTGAATTTACGATACATATTTCATTATAATACGAACCCGTACTGTATGTTATGACCTACACATATTCTAAACGTAACTGCTACATACAAATGTAGGGAAGATTGCGTGATGCATGTAAATGCTTGCTATTTCGCTGAGCATATTAAATGTCAAATAGCGAACACCAAGATTTAAAATATTATTTTCTTTTATACAAAATAATACTTTAAAAACATAAGATGTGTAGAAATTTTGATCTTATTTATCACAGTTGTTACTCTTGTGTGTCGTTAGTTAGCTGGTTAGTTGTTAGTCTTATGTTTTAGATCTCGAAATATCAGAAGTGTCTCTTGATATAAAATGTTAATTTACTAATATCTATGGATAGTTCAAAGTTATATAAATTTAAAATTTTAATATTGATATAGCATTTCAAAATTTAATTAATGTTTGCGTGCACTCACTTAAATTAGTTTTATATGTATGTATTAGGTTCCCTGTTATTATGACACAGCAATAAATTATTTGGACTTGCGTTTTATTTAGGACCTAAGTGTAATTAGTAAAATTGTATATTTTTATAGTAATTAAGAGTTTTTGTAAAATATTCGTAAATTACTATTCTGGCATTTAATAGCAATAAATGACAACCCTTTAAAATTTTATTTCCTATGATTCTACTTAGTTGAAAAATAGGAAATGCTATAGCTGCAGGAGATAAGGAATAGATAGGTTTTCAGTTTCAAAAAGCTTCTTAAAGACAAGTATGTCACTACCGGAAGATCGTAAAGATCGTATAAGTATATAAATATTCAATTTAATTGCGCTATCGATATTTTGAATAATTTCTTTGAACGTTTCCGCTTATCTTTTGAGAGCAACTTAAACAAATTACTCCGGGAACTCTCCACCATAATTATTATTCAACCTTTATCCAAGGCAAATCGAGTAAATTTGTTCCAAAATTACTTTTATTAAAAGCATTTCTTTCCCTCCGTCGAACCAAAGTGCTAAAGTAGAGTAAATGGACTGGAATTTCCATTTGTGAAATAAATTATTAAGTATTGTAAATTTTTCAAAACTCTGGGTATTGCATACAATTAACATCATGTAAATAGAAAAATTTATATGTTATTGTGGTATATGAATAGTCACATCACCTTAAGTTCAGAGAATTCATCGGGATTTCGATAGAAATCTTGTATGAAAAGCAAAATTCTTCATGTAAATATGTAGATTGTACTCAGTATGAATGTATCATAAAAATATGTTTCTAAAATGTATTGGAATGTTTTAACACTTTTTTTAGAATCAAGTTTCTTTTACACGATGACTTTATATAAAAGGTTTTGATAAAATATTTTTTTTAATGACAAAAATTTAAGATAAATCTAGTCAACTAAAGTTAGATTTTTACCAAACAACAGTGAATAAAAAATATTTTATTAAAGTATATAGTCAACCTCCTTATAGTACAGTCTACGAAGATAATCCTAATGGACTGTCTTGAGTTTGTTAACCTCTAAAAATGGGTCTAAAAAGTAAATCATTTATTTTGCATGATATCTTCCCTTTCAAACTCTTCTATTATATTAGTTTACTCCTTAATATTGACGGCAAAGGTAACTTGAAAGTTGATTTTAAGTTAAATTGACTGTAATAAAAACTTTATTTAATTTCACCTGACTATTTATATGTATAACTATTTTGGTGAAAATTTTCCTGAATACATCTTAAAGTAATTCAATATACAACTTACTGATATGATACGAAGAAAATATATTAATTACACAATTATTTATTTTGATTATAAAGAAACTTTTACAAAATGCTTTAAATCTGATTGGTCAAGTGTTAGCTTTAAAAACAAACTTTGGGAGGCTTTTTATTAACTTTTATAATGACCTTTTTGTTTGTCTTGTAGTGACCCGCATTTAGTAACAAAGGGCTTTAAACCTTTTGACACCGCCAACTTAGTAGGTTTATTAATTTTGCTTTACATAAACTTTGAATTTTAAACAGTTTAAATGTCTAAAAATCTCCCAAATCAAAATTTATTTTCATTTCTAAAAGAATCTATAGTTCTTAATGACAAAATTGAAATTTTAAATTTTTAGTATCATAATATATATTTCGTTCTGCATTGGAATATTTTATTATCTCATAGAAAGGCATGAGATAATCACCCGAACAAGTGTAGAATGAGGAAGTCTACGCGTCTGGTAGATGGATATTACTGAGTCATTTTCGTAAATAATCATCTGAGATCGCTAGCGTTATCTTTCTATTAACTCCTACGTACCAAATTGGAGTTCATAGTCATGTAATTGGCTAATCGGCGGATATGTTTCAGTTGGTTTCAATAGGTTATACTTTACTCATAAATGATTACCGTAACCTACATTGTAAGAGATTTGATAAGCGAATGAAATCTTCGAGTAACAAAAAAGGAATAAAACTTTACTATCGATTTAATATTATATGAAATGGTACACAAAAAGCGTAGAACAAATTTAAGTCAATTTGCCGCGTCTATCAGCTGTAGATTGATTTATATCAACGGTCTAATCTTGGAACATTTGACAGCTTCTTTCGTTATCGTAATGACTTCCTTTAGGGGCGGAAACTTAGTCCTTTCTCTTAAAAACTTTTTATTGTATTTGATAGACCTTTTCCGTAGTCTTGGTTATTTGATATGAATAAAGTACGGTTTTTATAGCTATTTTTGATATTTTTTCTTCAGTTCGATACTCTACGATTTTTTTTACTATCTCTAATTATAAGCATATAATGTGACTGTATTATATATTCCTATAATAAATCTTCATGTTATTGCATATAAAATGTACGTATATTGAATATTACATAATGATAACATCGAATTCTATTAGAATTTCAATAAGCAATTTTAGTTCCAAGTTATTTATTGGTATATTAATCAGATTCATAAGGACGGCAATAAATATATGCGTTGGTGCTAGACCCGGATCGCGAGATTTGTGAAGATTTCCAATTTAGATAAAGCTCTGTGTAAAATGGCTTCTATTTTATATCATTTATTATTGAGTCCAAGTATAGTACGTTCGGTTGTTCTGTATTTAAATCAAGCTGTGTTTCCATAGAGATAAATATTATTGGAATTGATTGAACTTGATAATTAATTTAATTATTAAATATTTGAATGATATAAATATAATGTAGGTAAATTATATTTATTTATATCTGTTTAGTTTAACTTAGTTACTTATCTATGCCATTATTACTAGAATGGTAAAGCGACTGCGACGCTATATTTCGTTAGCTGCAATTTCAAATCGTGTTCCTACATATATTTTTTTTAATTTAAAGATATTTGAGTCATTTAGGTCAAATTTACTATTCAAATAAAAACCAAAAGCTTAATGTAATAGACACAACTACATATAAATATATCTACAGATGGATATTAAGAACCCAGACTAAGCAAATTAGCCCTATGTTTGTCGGTCGAGCCCGAAGTTCAGCAAACATTTGTTCCTCCTATTATGATGTTTGTGATGCCAATATTTAGTACTTTAGTTGAGTATACAGGTATAATTATATCACTTCTAATATGTTGTCCTTAATTAATCCTCCCTTGCCCACGATGTGAGAGTTGATAAATGAAATAAAAAGATTTTTTCAACTTTTATACATATGTAGCGCTCCTTATTGGGCAATTATAAATATATGTTTTAAAAATCATATTGGTAAGTTAAAATATTTATATTTATAAAAGAATTTACGTCTTGTATGTTATTTAAAATCCAAGAATTAAGTACATATTTAAGTAATAAAACAAATAGTACTCGAGTTTGTCGTCTAATGTAAATCACAAAATAAATAATATGAACAGAACGGAACAAATATATACTCGTATATGTTTAATACTCAAAATCTAAAGTGCTCACCTAATAATGAAGTAGTGCATTAGAAGCGAAATAATTCCATATTTGTATCGTAAAATAAATTATGAACGTTTAAAGTAAATTTGACAAGAATAATATACATACAATTATTATATTATTAGGTATCTAAATTCTACATATAACATATAATTCTACATATAATTAATTAATACTCACTTAATTACAGTTATTTTTTATTAATTTATATTAAATACTATTAAATAAAATTAATGATTAAGATACTTACAATAATGAAAAATTTACCATGTAATCATTATGTACTAAAAGCCACATTTATGCGCCCTCTTGATTCAAAAGTAAAATGTAATCCGACTACGAACATAATTTAATTATCATTTTTATAAAATGATAATTAAAGTACGAAGGGACGAAGTGTCACTTAATATTAATATTTCATTCATTGCCCCAAGTCAAAACAGACAAAAATGTAATAAAAGAAGGCCACATCCATTTTGTTTATCATTCAAGCAAAATGAAATACTATAATTAGCCTCATAAAGTTTAGATTTCAATATGGTAAGTAGAAGAAATAAAAATATCGTTTCTTTTTTAAAGAAGTTATAAATAATTAGAAGTTAGCTTTTATTTATTGATTCCATAACGAAATTAAAATGAAATATAAAATATAAACGAAATTAAAATGAATTTATTACGATAATGTTTAGAACATAAATCATATTTTTGAACATTCGTACTAAACTGAATAAATCAAGAACTTCTGATATTTATTGACTTGCTGAATATTTAATCTATCATTTTATTTCAGCAATAGCATCAGCCCATAAGATAACTCAGCTTAAAGTACCTCTGTACGCCGACTCCCGGCGAGCAGCAGAATTGAGCTGTCACTTTGAAATGGATGATCAGAAGTTGCACTCCGTCAAATGGTATAGAGACATGCATGAGATCTTCCGATACAATCCTACACAAAAGGTACAATGGTTTCTTTAAAATATTTAAGTATGTTAGATCGTTTCGTGGTTCCTTTGAATAAAGTAAATTTCAACATGTATGGGTGTTATCTTTTATAAATATGAAATGTTATAAAATATAGGTTATAGTGTAATATACTTTTTAAAACTATTGATTAATCTTACGCTCATGAAAGTTACGGGAAAAAGGAAGGTTGGTAAATGAGAAGCTTTATACCGTTTGAAATATATGTATATTCGGAAATCTAAATTAATGTCAGAAACTTGACCTACAATAACAAATAATTTGCAACGGCCTATGTTCCATTTTCACTTGTTGAGTTTAAGTCACGTTTGTGAGGTCACGCTAAGTATGTACACTGCGGACATTTTAATGAGTTTTGTGTTTATTAAACTATTTAGCATAATTTTCTTATGACTTACACAGTCTTTATGCAGTTCTGAAATAGTATTTATGTTAGGTTTTCACGTCTTTCTTATGTGTCCGAAGAAACTTAAACGTATAATTCTGAATTGATTTTACTTTGAAATAGAACAAAATTTTGCAGTAAAGCATTTCATTACTTAAAAATAATTAAGCCGTTTTTTGTACGTCACCTTCAAGTCCTTCTTTGTTATGTATATACATATAATATCGTACTGATTATTCAGTGATCGCTAAGGTTTTTTTAAGTAAAATATAATATAAAATTGAATAACCTGTACTATCTGATTGTTCCTAGCCCCCAATTCGTTTCTACAACGTCACGGGTATCATGGTACAGGGAGGTGAATGTCAAAATGATTCGTGTACGGTGAGGGTGATGCCACCCCCTGTCGCCACAAGAGCCGCGTATAGTTGCGAAGTGTCAACAGAAGGACCTAAGTTTCAGATAGCAAGACAAACCAAACATATGACGGTTGGAGGTAAGTCAATTAGTTTAAGATTAAATTATTTTAAACATCAAGAAACTCTCGGTATTATTATATTATAAAATATATACACACATATAAACTTCTTCGTTCAAGTTCTAAGTTGTACAGAGCGTATGAAAACATGTAGGAAAGAAGGTGATGTTAATAAAATATAATATAATAAGCGATCAGCAAGAATATTGCTTTTTTACTTTAACATTTTCACTTACAAATTCATTTTAATTTATTTAAACGAAAATCACAAGGTTTTTATTATAAATATTACTACTTGTATCATTTATTACCTTTACATTTCGACGGGCTAGCTGATTTATAATATATGGTAATGAAAAAAAAACAACGTTCTTCTGTTTTTGTTTATTAAAGGATTTTGTAACATATCGCTAAAGTGATTCTCCATGATATTTTTTGGAAATTTTCTAATGATTTAAATTCCCAGAAGCCAGGGCGTTCATGTACAATCAATATTTCTTTTCAATAGGCAGGCTATGAAATTCTTTCAAGCCATTTAAAATATTGTCAGTCATCAGACGTTACATGTAGCTATATTATAAATATATATATACGAGTATGTATGAAGCTCATGGTCTCATTTTGAAGGTACGAAAGAGAGCGTTTTATATAAGAACATACAATTTTGAAGTATTAATAATATCATTTTTATGTGTTTAGTTTCCTTTTTATCGTTCTTATCTAATTTTCTTGAAATATCTAACAATAATATTTATCACTGACATAGTTCAAACGATCAGCTGTTATAGCGAGTTACTGCCCGCAGCTTTATCCACAACAATTCGGGATTAAACTCACCCTTGGGGATAATGGTTTTTCTTTGTCCTCTCACAATGTAGGCTTTGCTTTCTTTTGAAATGGTTATATCTCATGAAGAGCTGTAAATTAAACTAAAATGCAAATGCAACTAGAACATGTTATCTTAAAATTAATTAAAATATCCAACTACATTATATACGTGCTATTTTAGTGTTATTCGCTGAACTTCACTGTTTTCATCTAATCCTGTTAAAACCAGCTGCATACACCTCTGCGAAATAGACGTTTATGATAACACTGTAAATTCTACTTATGTTTGAAAGAAAAGAATATTCCGTTCATAAACAGAATTTCTCTCCTATTCTGTTTATTATATACAGGTCCAAAATAAATATTATTATTAAATATTTATTTCAGTTTTTCTTAACAATTATCATTGATCTTATATAAAATAATACCGAACCTGAAAATATTGTTTAGGAAGCTGAAAACAACAAAGCTTTTTTAAGCAATTGAGAAAACAAAGTTATTCTATTTGGTAGTTGTTGAAAGCTAAGCCTTAGATTGGTTCATGAGGCTATTTGTACTTAGAACTTTAATTATGTTCACTTTCCCACTATTCCACATCAAAGCGCTTTATGTTACTAAAGTTCTTATACAAGATTATCTTACTCTCTAAGTTCTCTGTAATTTAGGAAGGTCCCTCTAATTCGTACAAACGAAATCTAATCACCCTAACTGGTCTGTAAACAAATACTTTAAGCCAATTTTTATTAAAATTTGCTATGTCTACAAAATTAGCTGAATAGATTTAATAGTATTACTAAGCATTATCTCATACGAAATAAAATGTAATTGTTAGAAATTTCAGACCTATAACTTTGAATAGTATCTGAATATACTCAAAACGATTTTTTTTATCTTATTTCAGAAGCTTAGTTATCAATTTGTTTATTTAACTTAAAAATTTATTTAAATAGATCTATTATCAAAATTAAACGCCTATGTCATGATATACAATACACAATATACTTTATATTATGTAGTTTATAAATTATATTATTAAAAAGTAAAAAATAAATTATCCAAAACCTTTTTTACATTACCAATTATTATTATATAATAATGATTAAACATTCTGTACTACTTTCCTTTATGTAACTTTGTAAATCTCGATAATAACAATGTTACAGTATATTAGGGACAGAGACCAAATGACGGACCAAAAATTTATTACCTTATTATTTCCCACTTTTTCGATACATTTGTACATTAAATATGTATATGTTCACATGTTAATCGAAATAAGTACCTCATATATTTTAAATGATTTTTCTTACAATAATAATAAATATTTATAAGCGAGCATTTGCAGTAAGTGAAGAAGGTGCTGAGTATTACCTGTTAAGTCAAAAAAATAATTAAAATCTGAACTGCTCTCTTTTTAATTGTTAGTCTTTTTAGGACAGACTTTTGAATGTTGGTTAAATGTTTTTATGAGGAATGACAGTTATGTATTAAGCCAAGCATTGAACAGTCATTTTCATTATCCCAAATAATCATTCCAATATTTGAGCAGCAAGCTGAGCAACAACAGTACTTGACATTATTGTGAACATTGAAAGACATTGTTGCGATATACGTATGTAGTTTTAGAATATTATCTACATCACTGTCACCACGTTTGTAGTTGTTAGAAAAAGATCATAATATTTTAATTACGGCAATAAAAATAATAAAATAAGTTCACTCTTTAATTTTATTCAGTAGTCTATTTAAATTCCAATTTTCCTGTTTTTAGAACGATAAATTTATATTACTAAAATCTAAATAAAAGGAACATGTAAAGCGTATTTAACCAGTAAAAAAACGGTAGTTTAATAAAAGTGCTAATCAATAATTTGATTATTTAGTACATTCGAACACTTGATGTCCTTTATGCCTATTTTTTGACATTATGCCTATTTTTTTTTTAACTTTTTTAGCAATGCCGGATAAGGATCCAGTTATAGTGGGAGCGGCTAAATTAGTGAAGCCGGGAGAGCAAATACTTCTGAACTGCACTTCTGATTACTCACTTCCCCCGTCTGACATCAATTGGTACATCGATAACGAGCTCGCTAGGGTAAGTACTTTATGTAATGCGTATAAATTTATTTTGTTCTTTCTAAATAATGACAATTTCTGCTATTTGAGAAGCAGTGTAGTTCCAAGGCTAATGAATTTTTATATTACACAAAACAAAAAAAAATCCACCAGTTTTAGCTCCGCAGTGCATCTGCTTGTGTCCATCTTAAAATAGACAGGAAGACTGAATAAAAATTTAACATATAAATATTTATACCAAACAATTGAATTATAAAAATAAATCACCTGAATTGTGGCTTCATTTTATTATTCCTCATAATTAATATGAATTAGAACAGATACTTTTCGGAAATATGATTACTATCACATTACACTATTTTACTATCACTGCAATGTGTAACAAGGGATTGATATTATGCGATATCAATTTTTTATTTTAATTCTAATTTCTGGCCTAAAATATCTTGTACGTTATACTAATTAGTGTTAACAGCATTTCTCTGCTATTTTCCGCTTGAATGAACAGAGATATATTATATTATAATTACATAATCTAGAAATCCTAATAATGTAATTAGTAGCAAATGGGCTCATTTGCTATATTTACCCAAATCTCAAATCATGCATATACATATGTAAACACTAATGTACTTATAAACAAACCTACATGCCATAACTGAAGAAATTAAAGACCAGAGCTTGAATATGAACTACATGTATTTATTTTAATATAAATCAGCCCACCCATAATATCAAACTAAAATATTTTAACTATCTTTTCCTTGGTGAATATGTAAAATTTTTATGACATTTATGTTCTTGTTAATGAAATGCAGCTACTTAAGAATCCGTTCTATGGTTTTTGCCTTTTATTAAAAACACAAGGACATTCAAGCTAATAATATTAATAGGATATTGATATTTTTTAACTTTTTCAGTAACACTCTTCATGTGAAACAAATATTTATGGAGTTCATTGAGGATTAAAAAATTAAATATAAGTACATTCCATCCAATTAGTTTTTTTTTGTTCAAACGTAAAAATCAACATTTACTCATCATTGTATTGGTTCCCATGACATCTTACACTCTGCAGTAATCACTTTAATAATAATAAGTTTTATAGTAATAGAAAGCGTAAATGCAAATATTCAACACGTTCTTAATTTTTACCCTCACTAGGCTACTTTCTTATCACACATCATTAGAAAACGGTTTACGGTTTTATAATACTGAAAAACTATTTCCTCCATGAAATTACCACATAAAATAACATAATAACATATTAGAAAAAACATCACTTGATTTGACGGCAAATTTTCAATGGTAAGTACCATAATATAATAATAATAGAAACACTAAAAAAGTAAGTGACGAAATTTTCAATATATAGAAATTTTATTGCGTATTTTAAGTTATATTTCTTATCTAAAAGTAATTTTCTCGTTTTTTTTCTACTCAAAAATATTTTTTATGAATCACAAACGAAACCTAAAAATTAATAGTCCTTGAACACCTACAAAGCTTCTAATCAAAGAAAACAGTTTTTCTTTCATAAATGATAATTGAAAAAAAACAAAGATTGTTTTCCATAAAAATAAAGTTATTTTTTTGTATAACATGACTTACTTGAATTAAATTCGGCTTGATTTGATAAAAGGACTAGTAATATTCGTAATGCTTTCGAGACAATATTGCACTCAAGAGATGGCTAACTCGATTTAACTGTTTGCTCTCTTGCGCTGCTAATGGAATCAGGAATCCAATCTGACTGGATTAGGTACTATCAATTATTGTGATTGGGCTCAGTTGGCAATTGAAAGGGCAAATTAAAACAATTGAACATTGGAAGATTTTTACGTTTCCAAGTTAGATTATAATGTCAGCATAAAATCTTATTCTCCTCACAATTATTTATGGTATAAAAATTTTACAGTGTTTTCTATAATTCAATTTTACTGTTTGTTTGTCGTTTTATCAGTTAATTAAAAGTCGATGGTAAAAATATATTTTTATAGTCTTACTTAAATAAAGTAGAGTAGAATGTAATAAAACATCATACAGCAACAAAAATAAAATAGTAAAATAAAAACATTATGTAAAGAAACTTCCCGTTTTGATAAAGTAAGATTTATTAATTTTATTAATGAAATGGTAATGTTTCGTTTTTAATACAAGTACAGATATTAATGGACATAATTATATAGAATGAGCAAACAATAAACTATGTAGTTTATGTGTTTGTAAGATACAAGTAAAAAAGATTGAGAAGTTCAAATTGATAAACTTAAAACTGGAGCACTTTTTACTGTTATCTTTTACTAAAGTCATTTTATGGTACATTTGAACGTGTGTACATATATATACATACTATTAGGTCATGTATAGTGTTTTTTAATTATTTTATATTTTAAAAATGATATCAAACCAAACTAAAACAATCAATATTAATCTGTATAATATGCAAAAATGATTTTTAAGAAAAATAAAACATATCAATTCTGATTCGGCGTTATTATATGTATAAATAATATATGTAATAGATTTTTTGTTATTGAAATTGTTTAAGCAATTCATTATTTCGTAATTATTGTGGGGGCGTATTACTTTTAGTACGAATATGTGAGCACACCCGATAATCTAAACGCAGACTTGGTAGTTTGTATTGTTTGCCATTATTAAGCTCATTGTTAAGAGACTTAGCAGTTGGGGCACTTTAAATCTTCACTAACGGCCTTTTAAAATGGTTAATATATTTTGCAAATTCTCCATTATCCTCTGAATTGTATTTTAAAGTATGTAATATTTATCTTGTTTATAGTTATTCCTGACTTTGTTTGTGATAATCTGTTTTAAGGGTCACTTTTGCATTGTTTTCATTAGTTTTACATCCGTTTAGTGTATCGAAAAAAGGTTTATTTATATCTTCTATGAAAAAAAATTGCTTATCTATTTGAAATTATTATGGCAGTGACATTTTAATTATTCTATAAATGCATTTATTTTGTTGCCATTTATTTTTAAGGTTACAATGACAGGCAACTAGAACGAATAACTAGTTGTAGAAATTTAAGTTAGTTTTTTTTTTATATCCAAAGAGCCGTATAAAATTTCCTCGTTTGACAATCTCCAACAGTTTTTCGAGCACAAAGCGGAAAATACTGAAATTTTTTCGTCTTTCAATTAGCCTAACTTAAAATTCGACGAATACACTCTGATTTTTTTCCATAAAATAAAATATTTTTATTTAATATTATCATTATAGAATTTAACAATGCTATAATTCTTAAAGACAGAACCATGGCAGAGGACGGAGTTAAGCCCACCTCAGCCTGGTGGACTTCGCGCCTCGTGGCGTATACTTCGTGTACCGGTGCCAGCCTCAGCTAGCGGTGCTCTACGAGTGCGATGTGAAGCAGTTCTTTTAGTAGATCCGCCAGTAGTCAGAGATACTACAGCAATAATAACGGTGTATTCGCGTACACAGCTATCTAAATATGTTTCCAATATAGGTAAGTTACTGCCAACAAATTGAAATATTGCTTATAGTTAAAGTTAAAATAAGCAGGAATCTATATTACTTGTTTCGGCGATTTTATATGTTATGGATCAAATAAACAATTATGAATCCTTGGATTAAGTATTTAAAGGATAAGTAAAAATAGATTTTAATAACGTTAACATGGGATTAAAACTGCACTATATTTTTACAGATTTAGCGACAACGAATTCCAGTGTACATGACATTTAAAATGTAATCCATTGTGCTTTAGTTTTTTTTTTTTCAAAAATATATTTTATAAAATATTAAGTAACCTGTTCATGTAATGGTCATATAACGTCAATATCTATAATATCATAAATGTTAATAATAGAGAAACAAATTAATCGATTACATAAAGCTTGATGCGTGGTGTATTGCAATATAAAACTCTTCACCGGCAAACGCCAAGCATCGACGAACTTACTGGCATCGAGACAACAACCCGGACGAATACATACGTTTGTTTTATCATTTAAAAACTTGTGAAAATTTAAATAAAAACGACGATTTGATACCTTATCAGTATTTTCGGCTTTTTTTTTTGTTTTTCCTTAACATTATTATGAGACAACACTGTTCTAATAAACAAATGATAATAATAAATCATACAAACTTTTTGTTGTACACGAGTTTATTTCTTAAATTATGTTTATCGAGATTTGATGTACTCTAGACATAATGTCAAAAAAATATATTTAAATCTGGATATTTGGTGAAAAATTATGCATGCCAATAAATATAAAACATAAGAAGTCGAGTTACTAATTTATATTTGATGCTAAATAACACACTTTTGCTAACCTCATCAATCATCAAATATAAAAAAATGAGAAGTGCATATAATTTTTTTAAGAAAATCTTGAAATAGAATGGAAATGTAACATGACAAAGCCAAAAAGTCCCATTTAATATGTATTTGTGTTTACTTATTTTCATTTATAAACATATTTCATTATAATAACTTTTTATTTATTTATTTTTAACCTGTTTAGAGTAAGTCTAGTTGGAATATTTTGATTAAAATATTTAGATGTTCGTATGTACATAATATGGAGAATAATTGAGATGAAATTTTAAACAAAACGCCTCAGGTCAGGACGCAATTATTTGGGTCTGACTAAGATAATATCAATTAAAACAAGTATTATGTTTATAATTACATATATCCCTTATGATATTTTAAATAATATCTAGAAAGTTAAATCTAATTCGATATTCCAACAAAAACAACAACTCTATTTAAATGCTGGTGGACGGTTAACACAGTAGGATTCAATTTAAAGTACAAGTTTTCTCGTCACATTTTTACTGTAGTAATAATCAAAAATATTCATATAACATTCGTACATATGAGAGAAGCCTCGAACAAAAATCTTAAGCAAGACATTGAGTTGGGAAGGGAAGCCTGGTAAAAGGTGTTAATTAAACAGTTGAGGCAGTCTCACTTGGGTAAATGCGGATCTGGTGAAAATTAATGCTACCAAAATACAAGAATGTATTTTCTCCACCAAGATTCGCCTTACGGCTTACCTTGACTCTAACTTGTTAGAGTGTATCCTGTGTTTTTAACCCACTTACAGTTTGGTTGTCATCAAGACAAATGTTAGTAAGTACGCTTTTACAGAGATAGTGAGTTTACCATCTACGGATTAATTAATAGTAACTATCAGGTAACGTATTATTTAAGCACTACCCATTCGGTAAATTAAAAGGAACTATCTAAAGGAACTTAATGATTCTATTAGAAAAAAATCCCTCTTTATACTACTATCATAATTGTTTTCTAATGAATACCCTTAACTGTTTGAATGAAACTTCAATTAGAACATCACGTTATTATAATATGTTACTGAAATTATTACCAACTTTTAATTGTTGATCTAACAAATTACACGGTTATTTTAAACTGTTGTTAAAATAAACAAAAATGTTATTTGCACTAAAGTACTCAACAATATTAACACAGGTTAACGCTTTGAGGAGCCCAAGGGAAATTATGAGTAATAATAACAAGTCTGAATAACTTCAATATTTATGAAGTGAATCCACTTCAGCTATTTAACTTTGTTATTGTTCTAATTCTAACCTAAATTCTAATACATTAAAGAATAATTTCATCTCATTTACAGATTATATGTTAATTTATCAAAGAATCATGATGTAACTTGTTAATTTCTGTGGATTCCATCTATCGCAAAATATTTAAGATTTTAATTTCCTCTTGTAAAAAAAATATAACATGTTTATTTTGTTTCAGGTACTCACATCGAATATAATAAGATAGTTATTTTAATTACTTTGATCATCAATTTTAAGAAAATTTCAAACTTTCAGAGCTTATGAGGCTTGGTTTGAAGAACTTTTACAGTGATATTAGTATAAGTGTAGATAAATGGTAGCCATTGAAACATTTTAATAGTCTAAGAGCAGAAATCGGTTGAAATTAAAGGGAGATCTATCAGCTCTTACACTATTATTGTCACAAATCATTATATCATTTGTGACTTAAAAAATATATGAATTAAATTCAACATTCTAGAAAAATATTAAGTCAAGATATATATAGTCCATGCGAAATTATTATTTTTTGTACATTACAAAATTTTAAATTTATGGTAAAAATTAATACGTAAAGTGTCAAAATAGATAGAAAAACTCTAAGATGAACATTTAAAATATAAAAGTCATTCATTTAAATAATTCTCATTCCACCATTTCGTATTCCTTGTCTTACGCATTACTTCTTCTATACGAATATAAAATAATCATATATACATAGTTTCAATCAAAAATACATTATCAACAAATTTTATGAAATTTCATTTTTTTTTCTGTCGTTTTTAATAAAATTGTTCATTGTTTTGCGTTGCAAAACGAGCATTGCTCTTTCGAGGATTTTTAAAAAAGTAGTCAACAAACAGGCTCTGTTTGTTCTTTTTTTTTGCATTTTTACAGGAGTTATCCCTACTATTTTTGCAGTCTTATAAGAGAGTTAGGTCATTAGTGAATGAAGAGCTAAATGCATTGGGGTTTTCTTTTTTTAATGGAATAACGTCAGATGGTAAACTCTGAAGGACTCCAGGGAGGATGCAAGGAGATCACAATTTGTGAATAGAGAAATTCGATCACCAGTCTCATTCAATGCTTACGAATCTATTAGACACCTTCAATTCTAACAGCCTATAAATTTTACACTGCGCCAAAATTGTATTGAATGCTTTTGGCATATCAAAAAAGACTCGTCTTATATGAGAGTTTATGGTTGAGTATTTTGATAATGTGCTTTGACTGGACAGGAACTTGAGTGTTTTGGCTCTGAACCTGAAATGTTTTCAGAGGATGATTTGTATTCTATCCAATTCCGCATTTGTCTGCTCAAGACAACGCTCTGGTACATTTTACATATTTTACGTTTTGCAGGTTGATAATGAAAATTGCTTATTCAGTTTGTGTTTACCTATTACTTTTATATATTACTGATAAAAAAAAATTGTTTTCATAAAATGGAACATATTAGAAATATAACATTTTGTTTCCTTGAAACTTATTCTATGAAAATAATCATAAATATTGTTTATTAAACTTAATTTTAAGATGCGAGTTAAGAAAAAAAACCGATATGCAAACACTAAACCTAACAGGAAGTCCATCTTCTTTTTTGAAGGAATGCAGTGGTGGTCCACTTTAGTTTACGGAATTTTAATAATGTTTGGACATTTTTACTAATTAACAATACCTTATGTATATAATGTGAATTCAGACCGAAAAAACTAAAATTTTCTTTACCATCATATAAAAAATATAAAAAGTTTATAGGACAAAAGAACTAAATTCAAATGATAAATCTTACTCTAGACCCTACATTTTGATATTTAAACCTGTCCAACTGTCGTCATAACAGTCTATCATGTGATGCATATTCATAGCTCTATGAAATAAGGTCATACTTTATGAAATAAAACACTAGGAAAGTATGGCACATGCTCACATGCTCCATTTTATTTTTAATATCGTTCCTATGTCTTCGATATTGTATATTTATTGTACGTCGTCGACTTCAATGTTAAACTTACCTTATTAAATGTGAGTGCCAGCATTTTGATGTTTTCTTTCGCATATTTAATAAATAATTTTATTTAGTTTTTGTAATTTGTATACATTTTCAGCTTTTTGATAATAGTTTAATAATATGTATAATATAGGTGTTAATCTATGGCTGTGTTTCACTTAAGGTAATGTCAATTCTTTGCACGAAAACATCTTTTATCTTAAAATGTACAGTTTTCATATGATTGTTTTGTTTTAATTCTTGTAAAAATAAATGGAATACGTAAATAAATTATGATACAAAAAAAGAGATATTTGATTTTCACCTATAATATTTTCTTTAGAGAAATAAACATATGAATATACTTATTTTCTAATAATTATTATTTATCTAAGGACCCGAAAATCAATAATTTCTTTATTATCCTAAGTAAAAAAATATACTTTCTAAAAGGTACCAAACATCAATAAAATTGAGAAGTATCATGAAAATAAAATCATTTGATTTTAATAAAGTAAGTATATATTAATCTCCGGAGATAATTAAATAGTTTACAATATTTTTATAATTATAAAGACATATTAATATAGGAAAAGAAAATAACAAATATTAAATTAAGTTTTTGCGTAATAATCAAACTCTTAATAATCGATAACTTTACATGTGAGATTAACATAATAATCTACATACAGTTATGTATTTAAAAATGTTTACATGAGATCATTTTACAAGTTTTTTATCGGTATAAAAATATATCGTCATGATTGTCGCAATGGTGAAGAATCATTCGAATCGTATAATTTAAACATCAGCAGGCCAAAGTCTCAAAAGTTAATTTGTGATTAAAATACAACCATGAAAGCCATTGTATTAAGTCCGTTATATTGTTTGACAGAGGTCTAATTAAAACAATCCCCATATTTTTGTAATGATTAATTTTTGTATTGATATAATTATATTGGAACAATAACAAATATATACACAATATGTCAAATAAATCATAAATATAAAAAGTTAAATAAACGTATATTCTGTGTTCAATTTATATATAAATAATTTTATTGAGAAGCTAGTTAAAGCATAGCCGAAAATGGCTTTAATACTAATCTGTAGTCAAATGAGTTTCTCTGTTGGTAAATCCGTAGAAATCGATTTTTCG